TCAGTCAAAATGACTATTTTGAACTGTAGGCAGAGTCAGACGCCGATAGGTGGCGGGTTTTCCGAGCAAACAGAAAAATGATAAAAAGACTTTTCCCAGTCCGGGATGAAACACTCTACAATAATCACTCAACACCCAAGTTAAGACCCAAAAAAGGGTGGTGTCTTACCTTGCCTGTGCTGTCCCCGGAGCAAGAAGCCAAAATGCTGCTACGGTGACAGGGTTCGATGTGCCCGAGAAAGCTAGACCCCAACCCAATTCTGGGGGGTAGTAAGCTTTCGAAGTAAAGACCGAAACAGTTCTGCATGAGGGCATAGACCTCAAAGCGGGACCTGGGAGCTTCCAGGGGAGTGCTGACGGTAGACGGTAGAAGGTAGAAATCTGTCCGCATAAAATGCCGAGACTGACTTATTGCCTATGCGCAGGGACCCTTGTGGTCGTTCGGGCAGGGTCAGCAAACCAAGACTGACCCGCTACGACGGGACCCAACCTAAAGAGACCTTCCTCAATGGATTTGGTGTCTGTTAGGTGGTAGTTGATAAAGACGTTCTGCGTTCTCCAGAAGCCTGCCCTCCGTGTATGCTCGAGGGGGGCACCTGACGCTAGAACTAGTGAGTTGGCAATCGCACAGACCTCATGCGCTCGTACTTGGTGTCTCTACAAGCTCTGTGTCGAGGAGGTTAAAGTATTATAGACCTCTAATACAGTCGCAGTAAACCACCTGGTTATGGAAGTTGGGGAGGCCGGCCTATCCTGCCTGCCTGGGCCGAAACACAAAGACATGTGCCTGGCACCCCGTCCTGAATCCTTAGTACGGTTTGGTAGCAACTCTGTGCTCGAACCGGGATGAGAAGCAATTCCTCCTGACCCTCCGGGCAGACAAAAATTTGACAGCCGGGGGATGACGATCGGGTGAGGATTGTGTCCTGGGATTTGGTTCTAGGCGAGAAACCCGATTCGTGTCTTTTGCACAACTTGATTGTCCATAACGGCGGTACATTATCCGAGAAGGACAATGCCCCCAGCTCTGGTCGACGCCTACCTGAGGCGAGGGCCAGTAGGAAGACTATTTTCCACATCAACAAATTTTAGTGGTGCTGATCAGAGAGGCTCAAAGGGCGGTCTGCTTAGAGCGGACAACACAGCCAACAAGTCCGAGTTGGGCGATTCCCTTGTATGGGGTCTTGGCATCTGGAAAGCAGTAAATAGTCTCCTAATAATAGGACAATCGGCTAGTCTTGTTCCCGTACGTTTTCAATGGTGGGGGACAAGGCCGACCTGTAGCCAACGATCGCTGTGTAGGACAAACCCACTTCGTCAAACAGGTGGACGAAGGAGCCTGCTACATGGCCAATAGAGGGATGGTATGGATCAATCTCCCTTCCGCTACACCAATCAGTGTATGCTCGCAGCCTAGAAATGTAGGCTGCATTGGTGGAATCCCTGTTCCCCCTGACCAGGACGTTGGCAGCCCGCTCAGATAAAGCTTTCGTATGTTTGGGTTCAATGAGAGCCTCTATGCGTGTAAGTGATACCCGCTGGGCTCGTTGGTAGTGCGCCATCTGGTTGGGACGGCAGGTCCGGTAAGTCCGGAAGAACTACTGGTGTTTCGACTAGCATTTCCGACAGAAGTGGAAACTAGGCCTTGTTTGGCCAATTGGGTGCGACCAAAAATAATATGCCGGTGTGCACCTGTCGAAGTTTTCTCCGGTGCCCGGTGAACTAGCGGAAAGGGAGGAAAGGCGTACACAACTAAGTGGGTCCACGGGGTTAGCAAAGCGACCCTGGCCCAGGCTCCTGGAGTTGGCAGGAGTGTTACGTACGTTGGGAGCTTGGCGTTCCGGGGTGCGGCAGACCGGTCTAACCTTGGACCGTCCTACAGCCGAAACAGCCTGAGGCTGTATCAGCCACCCCGTGTTCAGGAGACGGAGCCGCCTGAAAGGGCGTCTGCCAGACTATTCCTCACCCCTGGAAGGTGGTGTGCGGTTAGCTCCACATTGTATTCCAGGCACCAAAGGAGGATTTGCTCCGCTAGGACTGACAACGATGAGGAACGCGTCCCCCCCCTCCTTCTTGAAGGAGACCACCGCTGCGTTGCCTTTGCGGAGCAGGACTCAGGGGTCTCGAACTACGGGTAGAAAGCGTGGTAGTGCTAAGTATACTGCTTTCAGTTCGAGCTGGTTGATATGGTAGTCCCGAAACTAATGCGGGGGCTATATCCTTGGACTTGTTCATCCAATAGATGCGCTCCCCAACCTTGGGAGGAGGCATTAGTTACCAGAGTCATACATGCGGCGAGCGGGTCCAAGGGGGTCCCCTGTCCGAGGTTGGCCAGTGACGGCCACCAGGGCAGGGCTTCCTTCACTTGGTCCCAGATCAAAACCCGCCTATCTAGTTCCCATAGGAGAGCTCGGCGTTATAACAAGCGTTATACCGGGCGGCTGCGTAGTGCGGCCTGGGGAACGACCCTTCGAACCGAGGTCATCATTCCGATGATCCGCATTAGTTCTCGGAGGGACACTGATGGAACGCTGACTAGGCATTCGGCTAGGCTGCTTAGCGCTAAGCAACACGCTTGAAATAGCTAAGCCAAGCTTACCTCTGTGTCAAAACTCCATGCCCAGGGACACCAACTGCGCGTTGGGTCGAGGTGGGACTTGTCGATTTACTAACGAGCCCAACTGTCTGGTGAACACATAGGGCGCCTTGCCTAACCCGAAGGGGGGGGGGGGCACCCGAAATTCGAATACTTGGCCCAGCTGGGCGATTCGAAGGAGATGGCAACTCACTGGGTGCATCGGTATGTGCAGGTAGGCCCCGCTTAAGTCTAGTGGGGCTAGCCAGTCGAAACGGTGGATGGAGAGAAGAACCCTGAATGGTGTCTCCATGTGGAACCGATCGAGGAGCACGTACTGATTCAGTCTGCCTAGGTCCAGAACTGGACGCCCGCCACTTGTAGATTTGGTACTACGAACACATTTGGGTAGAAGCCTGGACTGATGTTCCGGCTGATGTACCCTGTGTATGGCGCCTTTCCCAGCAAACTGCTACTTCCTGTCTGATTGCTTCCGCCTTGCGGG